GTAGGTCTCTTATGGAGAGCCTATAGAGAGCCTCGTGCCGTCATACCACTTGCAGCTGGTCACTTATGGAAGGCCTCGCGCTGCCATACCACTTGCGGCTGACCTCTTATGGAGAGGCTTGCGCTGCCATACCACTTGCAGCTGACCTCTTTTGAAGTGCCACGTGCCGTCATACCACTTACATCTGGCCTCCTATGAAGAGCCTCGCGCAGGCACACCACATGCATCTGGTCTCTTACGGAGAGCCTCGCGCCTCCATATCACTTGCAGCTGACCTCTTATGGAGTGCCTCTTGCAGTCATGCCACTTGCATCTCTTCCTTGCCTCAGCCTACCCAGAGAATTGTGCTGAAGCATGCAATAAATTGTACGCAATGCCTGCGATCAATACGCTAGTGAAGTGAAGAAGGCAGCGTGCAACTTTGAAGTTCCCAGAGGGCTCAATGTTAAAGATTTACCAAAGTGCTCAGCGCTCGCTATCGTTCTCCCTTTCTTTATGCAGTTCGCGCCAGATTTTTGCGAGTGCATCCTTGCAATGTTTCTGTGCAATGAGAGTTTAAATGACGACGATTGTGTGCCGCTTGGCGGTTCTTCGACCACCGTTAGTGAAGACAAACTGCTTGTGAGATGCAACTGTAAATGGCAGAGAGTCCGCATTGAATCGTTCCTCTATCGCGTGACCAACAAACAGTTTTTCCCCAGACTTGATCTTTTACGACGCTACTGCACGCATTACACACGGACCTGATTAAATAATTCTACTGTGGCCATACAACTCTTATGATAGTAGTCTTCCCGCCTATTTTGGCTCCAACAAAGATTCGCTGACAATGGACGATGTTCCATCAGATTTAATTCCAGGTTTAGATTAAATCGTTATGTTAAGACGAGCCATTGAAAGAATGTATGAACTAATGATATTTTCAGGAACTTCACACCAGCATACAAATTTGTGCTGTCAATACTTTTTTTTCGATGTAACAAAAATACATGAAAAAGGACGCAACCGGATCAATTTAAAATTTTGTTGCGTCTAAATAATATTTAGCATGGAGACTAGTCGCATCAGTATTGATACTTCATAACGTAACAGACAACTGCCTCTATGTTTTGATGTACCAACTCCCGTCGTTGATGCTCAGTTGTTTTTTAATGAAAAATTTTCATTTTAATTTATTTCATATTTAATATTAACTGATTAACCCATTTCTTTCGAGTGATGACTTTAATTGATTGCATAAACTACCCAATCCTTGGAAGCACTGTTAGTAGAAATTAACGAACATCATAAAATATAATAAAATGTCAAATAGATATAAAATAGCAACTGATGATGAATTATATAATTATAATCAGATACACCGGAATAAAATTCATTATTGCTTCGATTTTTTTTATAAAATATTTTCATGCGGTTTCGCAAGAGTGAATATGTAAGCAACATGTATAAAGTATATGTGACGCTGCATATAGGAGATCGCTCGTGAGAGGCTGGTCTGAAGAGAATTTGTTACAAGGGGTCTTAAAAAGTGAGGATAAAATGGTTTGGAAAAAATTCGTTAGATTTTTTGCAAGGACTTTGGTCTTGCCTACAATTTTGATCATTTTAAAATCGTAAGTAGCAGGAAGCAGTTGGCTCAACATTTATTTCGCAAATCAAAAAGCCAGTGTTCAGTGTTTTCTTGCATGTTTCATGTCACGCCGCACAATGTGAAATTTCCAGATGGTTTCTCAGTTTTTTTAGAAAAAACTCAAGAATAATGAGTTTGGTGCAATGACGAATAAATTTTATTCTTATTGTAAGAAAAAATAACTTTGCTTGACACTAGAGTATCATCGTTACAGGGAATGGAGCCTTATGAATCTCTTTTTGAAGTTAGAATCAAGTGGGATAACGTTAATTTTAGTTAACAAAGAATTGAGAATTAAGACGAAAGCATTCCAATTAAAATTCTTATCGTAAATCTGTCTCATATATAAATTAAATTGCAACTCACGAGTCTAGTGTCGAAGTTATTGATCTTGGCGTCCATGGAGTATACGTTAGGTTTGCTGGAGCCGTTTGCTTTAGCGACGTGATGCTGCGGGCCAGCGCAGTTGTTGCCATGACAGCCTGGACGCTTGCCCCGACAGTAGATGACCAGAAGTGAGAAGAAGCCCACCAGCAGCAGGGCGCAGATCACCCCTACTACTGTCGCCACCTGACGCGGTACGGAATGAGAGATGATGAATATATAAATGAACTATAGCTTAAATTAACCAAAAACTTAAGAGCAAAGAAAACGTCAGCAAAATGGACAAATCTAATTAAAAAGTTTTAGAGACTAGCTTCCTCACAAGTTCAATTCGTCATCTTGGAAAATTTCTTATAGAAAATATTCAACTGAAATTACACTTCGAAAAAAACCTTATCGTTTTTATTTCTATATCATGATCAAGATTAGTTTTGAATTAGCGTATATCTTCAAAGAAATAATTTTTGATCCCACGTCAGGCAATAATTTCCCAATTAAACCATTCATTGAAATTATAATTTAGTCGGTATAAATTTAGGAATCACTTCCACTATTTTTTATGCGATAGATAGCGATAGCACCAAACTTAAATTAAAGACAACTGTTATAAAATAAAGCATGATAAAATAAATTAAATTTCGGCCCAAATATTCACCTCCTCGAGTTGCGGGACGAGCGGCAGAGTTTTGGTTTCAGAGCAAAACTGGCCAGTGGAGTCACGCCGGCAGATGCAGTTGAATCCTCCGTACGTGTTGATGCAGGTACCGCCCTGCTGGCATGGGGCTTCATCACATTCGTTGATATCTTCATTGCAGTAAATCCCCTTGAATCCCCGGCAATGACAGATGGGCCCAGCATTGCTTTCCTCGCACATGCCCTCGTTGAGGCAAGGGTTGGGGCTGCAATAAAGAAGCTGGCAGCGCGAACCCGACACATGCGCGGGACATTGACACTTGTAGGAGTATCCGTCCCGAATACAAATCCCGTTGTTGAGGCAAGGAGAAGAGGCGCACGGTTCTGTTGCGATCTCGCATTGTCTTCCCTTAAATCGTGACCTGCAATGACATTTGAAAACGCCGTCTTTTTCGGTGCACTCGCCGCCGTTTAAACACGGCAAGCTGCTGCACACTCCAGCATTTTCGAGTACCTCAGGACAAAAGGGCACTGTGTTGTGCGACCGCACTAGAGCCGACGATACCGTGGACTTGACATCGTTTATGGGCAGCGCCTCTTTATTGAAATGCGGATTGTCGATACAGCCTACCAGATTCCTGCTCGTGTAGTCTTCGTAATGCCAAGGCATCACTTCAGCACCAAGAAATATTTGTGAAGCGACTTGCACCGAGGGCGGGCCACTGCATAGTCAGAGTATTGGATGGCGTTTAAATTGGAAAAGTTCCCTTAGTTCAGCTGAACGAAATTTTCTCCCAGGGGAGGTGAGCGTCGCTGTTGCGTTGGACTCAATATAGAGGCAAAGGGCGCGATCTCCAGGGCAAAATGAAATATTTGTAAACTAGATGATTATTTTAAAGGAAATTCTGCATCTTTTTCTTTGAATTACTAAACGCGATTACGAATTTATAATAATAAATCAATTGATTGGTTTTCGCATGATATTGTCCATGATATTGCAGCGATAGTGCTAACTGCATCAAAATGAAGTTTTCCAGATTAACATGAAATAAAAATACTGGAAAGTACAATTGACAAAGCGCAAAACCGAGAGTGAAGCGCTAACGTTCCAAATACAGCAAGAAATCTAAAAAAACTCAACTAAAATATTTAAATAATTTAATGTCCAAGCAATTTCTCAGAAGCATTAAGCCAGCTGCACTTGATTTTGTGATTAATGATGGTCACTAAAACGGTTATCAGGGTTAAGGCTGAGTTCAATAATTAATGCACCAATGTCACAGCTCTCAAGTGAAAATCTTCTTATTTGAACGTATTCTATCAGGAACTTTGTTAACGAGACCATAGCCAGCTTTTTGAGCTAGACCCTTCAATATGTATGTGGTTTCATCGTAGGACCTTTGTTTCAATGTCCGATCACTTCACACTCACGGCAATGGGAATTTTCTCTATGGAGACGTGGGCAGTATGTCTACCACGCACGAATGTGTGTTTAGGCATTATTCATTTTAATACATTCGCTTAAAAACATTTGCTTTAATAAATTCGCTTTAATGCAATTGCTTCAATACAAAGATTTAGCGAAGGGCATTCGACATACTCTCAAAAGGCAGTACACCTCAGGTAGTGAATCTCTTTTATCATTTCAGATTAAACATACAAGAATTAAATTTCCAGGTCAGAGAACTTACAAACAAATATAATTTTTTAAACAGACAATTATTGAACATCGAAATATTTATATTATATGAACGAAAAATTCCGACATGTCGCTAAACACGATAACGAGTAATTATTGTCCTACGTCAGTCGAGATTCACGACGCGCGAGGAATATAAGGAATAAAACCGATTGAATATTTTGCCTACGGTATAGAGGAATGTGATGCCTGCAGTCGGGAATGTGATGCCTGCAGTCGGGCAGTCGGGAATGTGTTGCCTGCAGTCGGGAATGTGTTGCCTGCAGTCGGGAATGTGTTGCCTGCAGTCGGGAACGTGTCGTCATTTCAACACACCTATTCATGGTTCTTCAAGATCATCGGCTTTCAATACTGCGATTTGTTGTGTTTTGCAAACAACTGTTCACATAGACCTGCATAATGGCTGCGGCGAAAACAAGAACATAGTCCCAATAGTCCCAAGAGCCGGTTGTATTTCACGTTTTAAATATAAATAATAAAACTTATTTAATATATATTTAATTTTATAAATGTAAAAGAACAAGATTAATGTCTAAATTTGTTTGCCAAGCTCTTTCAAGATAAGATTAAAAAGCTACAAATTAATTTCTTATGAAACATCGAGCAAAGGTTTTTTATTAAGAATTAAATTACAGGATGCTTGCCCTTGCTTACCCTGGTTGAGCTCAGGATCAGGTTCAGGTGGCGGCAGGTGCTGCAGGTTGAAGGTGTTCAGCCTGCCCATGACGATGTAGTCTCTGCTGTACTGCGGCAGCGTCTCGGCACAGAGCGCGTCCCCGCGAGCGTCGTAGAGCTGCGTTACGCTCACCACGTCCGTGCCGGCCGCGCCCTGCTCTGAGCCTGCCGTCAGCAGCGCCGGCGCAGCGCCGCGTCCTGCGCCGCGTCTCTGCAAAATGCAGTTGAATCCTCCGTACGTGTTGATGCAGGTACCGCCCTGCTGGCATGGGGCTTCATCACATTCGTTGATATCTTCATTGCAGTAAATCCCCTTGAATCCCCGGCAATGACAGATGGGCCCAGCATTGCTTTCCTCGCACATGCCCTCGTTGAGGCAAGGGTTGGGGCTGCAATAAAGAAGCTGGCAGCGCGAACCCGACACATGCGCGGGACATTGACACTTGTAGGAGTATCCGTCCCGAATACAAATCCCGTTGTTGAGGCAAGGAGAAGAGGCGCACGGTTCTGTGTCGATCTCGCATTGTCTTCCCTTAAATCGTGACCTGCAATGACATTTGAAAACGCCGTCTTTTTCGGTGCACTCGCCGCCGTTTAAACACGGCAAGCTGCTGCACACTCCAGCATTTTCGAGTACCTCAGGACAAAAGGGCACTGTGTTGTGCGACCGCACTAGAGCCGACGATACCGTGGACTTGACATCGTTTATGGGCAGCGCCTCTTTATTGAAATGCGGATTGTCGATACAGCCTACCAGATTCCTGCTCGTGTAGTCTTCGTAATGCCAAGGCATCACTTCAGCACCAAGAAATATTTGTGATGACTCTAAGTTGAGTTCTTCGTTGCTGCCTGGTGAGGTTCCCGTGGAGGTGTGAGTGCCGTCGATCACAAGATGAGCTTGCCGTCTGTTGTGTGATAAAGCGACGTGATGCCACAAGGAGTCGTTCAGCGGCGGTGACGACACCGAAGTGTAGCCCTGCCCGCTGCCCAGCTCCCAGCGGTAAGTTACACGGCCATCTCGGAGCTGCAATAATAAGCATGCAATTTGAATATATGAATAAAATAAATATTATAAGCATGAAATATTGAAATGCAATAAGAAGCATGCTTGCTATATATAAGGCAATAGTCAATATTCTTTTAGACAGGTAAACTATTGTCGGGAAAGGCTGCTTCATTCTCTTAATTATATTTTCAAACATTGGGTAGAGTACAGCAGAAGATCTGTTTGGTAAAAATAAGAGATAAGTTAGGAATTGTAGTCCAACTCCTGAGAGGCATCACAGAAAAAAATGCTGAATATGAAATGATTCTCACATAATCATATAGCCAGCTAATAAATCTGACCACAATTAAAGAGACTCCAAGAGAATAGCCAAAACTTAAGCAACTGGTGGCGAGAGTGAAATTCTGGAAGTGAGTTATTCCTGCTACCGTTAATTTAGATATTTTGTTCACAATAATTTATATGAGAGAAATTATTGAGCCTAGTAAATAAAAATGGAACATCTCGCGGAATTATAAAGTGGAAAAAGTTTGTTCTTTTTTAAATTTCTGTTTGGAAACGAGCAAAGTTCTGAAATATATTTTTGCATTAACATATTTTTAATAATGTAGAAATAAAATTTCACCACTTCCCAGTTTTCTTCTACTAAAATTTTTTGGGATTTTTTTAAAAGATTTTAGAAGCAATTTCATCGGTTAGTATAGAGAAGACAGAACAAGTTTAGTGGTGAATTGGCCAAATCAAACATTTTTATGCCGACTGGGAATAATTATTTCACATTTCGCTGAGTAACATTTTTTCAGTGTGCATCCGATGTAATGATGGTCAAATACTGCATATGATACGCCACAATATAAATTAAGCTTTATTCCTTATTTGAGGTTCACTTCAGCGAATGCTATGTCATTTCTTGTACGTGTTAAACATGTTTTTGAAGAGCATTTGACTTGCGACCAGTATTAGATAATGCCACCTTACGCTGAATTTTAAATGAGGTAAATGCATTACGACGCTTCTGAAGCAGTGCTTAAGCTTATACAATATACATGTCGTGTGAGATTAATGAAGTAAAAATCGGCGGTTATTTACTTCACGTATGAAATCAAAAATAAGTAAAAGTCATTCCGTTTCTAGACGCTAGTGAATTAACTAGTATTGGTGAAATTATTTTACATTAAAATGTCTGAGAATTAAGTTTTAGATTAATTTAGATTTAGATTTATTTTCGCAGTAGTAAACGTTGATTTATGGGTAAAATACTCAAAGTATAAGTACAAGTATAAAGTGAAATTTTTGTTCCGGTGAATTTGTCACAAATGTTACGAAACTGAAAATGCTGGAAATGCAGAGTTACTTAAATACTGGTAGTAAAACCCGTGGAGTTTTCTGCTGTTCAATATGTCGAGGGCTCAGTTCTTTACTGTACCTAAACAATTTGCTGTGATGTGTTCTATTTAATAGCTAAAAATGTTTACAAGGAATGATTCACGAACAAGCACTCACTTCTAGACTACAGTAATCGATCCGTCCCGAGATGAAGAGGAGATTTCCGGACGGATGAGAAGTTCTGAACCATGTTGAAAACGTGAAGTTGTCAACGAAGGATGAGCGAATGCTGTATTGCACAAAGCCTTTCCCTTCAAATGACAGCGGGCTTGATGGAGAGTAGCACTGCGGAGTAAATTTTTTGCCTGAACATTCGGTAGCCTTTTTGGAGCAAGTGGTGCCTACGAACCCCGTAGGGCAGCGACACGAGAAACCGCGATCGGTTTCGCTGGGTACACATTCTTTGAATTGTGCACAAGGCTTGAACGCGCATTTGTTGAGGACTTCATCACAAAGACGTCCCGTGTATCCCGCTGGGCACACACAGACGCCTTTGTGAATGTGCTCCACAGCGATGAAATTGAGAGCCTCCGTCGAGACGACAACGGGCGTGTCGACCAAGTCGATGAGATCTTCGCAATGGCCATTGCTGCAAGTCATGTCATGGCACAAGTTACCTGCGATGCGTACCACGCGTAGACCCAGGGTGGACTCGAAAACACTCACGTCAGACATGAGTTTGTTGTACAAATCAATTCTGGAATAAAATTGTTTTCCAAATGGCTTTTTAACACAAAAAAGAACGCTGATCTCGGAAGATTGTTCCATCTCTGGAGCCATTTTCATCATTAAGCCTTCACTACTGGCGTCATCCTGCTGGATGTTGTTCCCAGAATTCTGTATGCTGAGGATCTGTACAGCATCGTTGTTTACATTTAGAGCATTAGAAATGCCACGAATAAAAGTCCGTCTGAACGATAACACAAACTCATTGAGGCTCGCCCCCGACAACACAACAATCAGACCATTGCTTATCATTTCATCTTCGACGTATCGGACTAGCACTTCAGCAGTCCCCGAAGACTGGAATTTCCCGTCGGACGCGGTGACTGCAATGTCGTACTGGCCTGCTAAAAGTGCTTTGACGGCGTGCAACTCTCCCGTCTCGAAGTCTATTTTGAATAATCCAGTCGCGCTGTTGTTGGACAAATCGTACGTCAGCTGATCGTAAGGGTCCTGATCTGAAGCCCGCACTAGGCCCAGACTACCTCCTCGATAATCGTCGGTTGGTAGCATCGCTAGAACGTGCAACGGCCGTACCACAGGTGGGAACTTCGAGGATTCTACTACCTTTAAAAAAAGAGAACAACGCCCAAAATAAATCTCAGTGATTTTTATGGCCTCAAATGGAAACTGATCAATGCAATTAAACCACGCATGTATTCAAAATCCAGAGCTCAGAATTCCTTATTCAAATAGCTTTGAATTTCAATAATAACTTTGCTGGCATATTCTACATTCTTCAATGTTTACAAATAGTTATGTCAACCAGAAACATAAGACTATTGGCATTTCATGCTAATTATTGCGATAAAATTCCGATTAATACTCTTTCTAATCCACGATCTTACTTGGACAATGAGCCAGACATCAGTATGAAGATGAGGTCTGCCGTTGTCGTGCACGCGAACTTGCAAACGGTAAACTGGAAGACCTCGTTCGGCAAAAGACACCGCTGTCAACAAATCTCCATTTTGCGTGATCCGGAAATCCCCACGTGAATTGCCAGATAGCAATTCGAAGGCAAATGGTCCGGCATTGCCACCGGAGTTTCCATCGGCGTCCGTAACTTTCAGACGCAGGAGACGTTGACCAGGCGGCCGGTCCTCCTGTGACAGCGGTGGAACGTTTTCGTGTTGCAGTTCATGGGAAAAATCAGCGTTGCAAACCTCGAACGGTCTTTTAAATTTTATATAAAAGTCTGAGTTGAGGATTTGAGCGGCAAGAAATTGAAAATTTGAATTCGTAGTCCAATTCGAAGCGAGTACCAATTTTTTTCATTTATGGGTAATCTCCTGTCTCTTAACAATAAAAATTTCAATTCTATGAGACAAGCCAAATAGCAAAGATGTGACTGCAGAGCAAGACGGTGTAAGAATTTGACAGTTTAAATATTTGCATTTATCAATGATGTATTTTTTTATTTCTAAAAATGATGAGAAAATGAAACATCTTAACTGTGGGACCTACGTATAGCTTTAATTCCTCATCCTTCGTTTGTTCATCTTTTAGTTTCCTTCATTTGTTCATCCATTTCAGCCATTGAAATTTTGTTACAAATCATCAAGTACTGATGTACTTCATGTAATCAAGTACTGATGTAATCATCAGTACTGTTAGTACTGAAGAGCTTCGTTAAATTTTTATTTCCAGTTAAAGTCTTGAGTTAAGTTATTTTAAATTTAAGTTCACTTTCAGCTTATTGCAGGAAATCGTAAAACTGAACGATTCAAATACAAAAATTTGCGTTTTAGGCAGACAGACTTGTTCTAGTATTTTAATATGTACATAATCAGGTCAGCTTACACGACGGTCAGTTCACAGGCACAGTAGTATAATGATAGTGACTATTTGTGTGTAAAAAATAATTTATCCCCAATATTATCTAATATCATCAGAGATTCATAGTTTAAGAATCTTCGCAGAGCATTAGAGGAAAATCATTTGAATGTAAGAACTTAAAATTAGTTTATATATAAAGACATGCATTTAAAGATGACTACGAGTGGCCTTGATTAACTTGACGTGATATGTAAAAAATCGTTTTATTTTGATTAATTTTCGTGAAATTTAATGAAATCGCCGTACAATTTAACATCGGACCGCGTGTTTTAATTTACTTGTAACGTCTAGTTGCTAACAGAATTTCTTCACCTGTTTCTAATTGCATCAGAAAATTTATAAACAATGTTTTCGAGCTACTGCTCTTTAGTTTGTTTGAAAAATTTACAGAGGGCGTGACACGTACGTTATCAGTAGCGAATGCTTTTCGAGTCATTTTTAGCAGCTCATGGAGTTTTAGCAGCTCTATATTGAAGGGTTTTCCCCCTTCAATATAGATGAAGCCGGTCGTAAACAATCAATAATAAAACTGTATCTCTCAGGAATCTTGATTTTGAGCCGAAAAATTTATTTCTCGAGACGCAGAGTGGTACAAGATACGTTCCATGAGAACGCATTTGAAAATTTTTATATTAAAATTTGAGATACAACAGATTTTTCCCGATTAATTTAGCCTCAAAACAATCATGCAACATCGTTTCTTGACGGACGACGGCTTTAAAATTGTACCAATTTGCATTTTTAATGAATGCCAAAAACCGAATATTATAAACTCCAGAGGAACAGATATGCAATTTTATTATATAGGATGTAAACTTTTCGAATTGCAAATAAATAAATAAATAATTAAATTCGGCTAAATGTGATAATCTGTTGAAGGTCTTATGAAAATAACCGATTTTTTTTATTATATTCTGCTTAAATTACTAGATAAATTAGACAAGGATAAATCTTTGAATAGAAGAATATCTCGCACCCGCCAATTCCACAGTTGTCAGTTGTACTATGAAATAATATACAACCAGCTTAGTCAAATAGAAAACATTAATGTAAAAACATTATTTAAAAAAATGAGCATCTCTTGTTGCAAAGTAGGTATAGTTTTTCAATTAACAATAAACTTGAATAAAACACAAAAAGAATGGGAAGAAACCTGAATGAAGAGCGTGCGGTTATTGAAGTGGATGACAGGAGGGTTGTCGTTAGCATCCGTGATTTGAACGTTCACTACTGCCGTGCCTGTCCTGGGCGGGCTGCCGCTGTCTGCCGCCACGGCCACTAGCTGATATTCCGCCTGAAATTTATAAAAAAAAACATTCCGGTAAATATCTCATAGGCGGTAAACAAATCCCAGGCCTTATCGGCGTCAAGAAGATAATGTTGTTAATTAATTAGGGTGCATGGATAAATCGAGGAGCCAAGTAATAAGTTGAGTAATGATGGACGAAATATAATAGCTAATTTATTAGAGAATATGAACTTTTCGACGTCAAAGGTAACTCCAAGAGCTGTAGCTTTAATATTTTATTAATGAGAACAAAACTCAGAAATCATCGAAATACCTTGATGTTTACTATGTACATTTTTAAAATACCTATTTAAAAAAAACTTGAGAATTAACGCACAAATTGCCTCCAGACGAATTACTAAATCGTTTATATTTATATTAAATTACATAATAGCATATTTATTATGTTCACAAAATTATCCGATATGACGGAACGAATCCCGGGATAAAATTTTATAAATAGCTTGCGTAATTTTCTAAAGGTTTTTTCTTACAAAAATTGTTGAAAATATGAAGTCATGTTGCTCTTAGAAGACACGACGCTTCGTGAAGACTTGGAACTGCGGATTGCTGGAGCGTCTGATTTTTTGAACAATGAAAAATGGAGCCTTGGTTGATTGTCATTTACGTCATGGTTAAACCACCGGTTGAACCAATAACTGTACTTACTGACCCAATTTGAGAAAATACAAATGGGTTGAAAATTATTTATGACTGACAATATGATTTCAACAAATGTGAAACGAAACATTAACGATATTCTTATTGCTCGATTGCTCTATTATCATTTTGTAATTGAAACACTTGAGCTATGGGTTTGAGTTTATTAGTGAAACAATTTATCTGTGTTTCGGTGCTTCGGTGCGACTATAAAATAAATCTCAGCACCGAAAATTTAATTTATTGTTAGATTCATCAATTTATAAATATTTTACTTTGCAACGTTCCACCAAACGTAGTATTTACTTTTATATTTCAAGGATAAGTTCATTCACCGACATTTTATATCTGACGCTGTGAATTAAAGCTTCAGAACCGAGAACATATTTTTCTGTTAGTAGGAAAAAATAGTGAAATTTCGGGAGCAAACAAAATTCTGAAGACTCGTTCACATTCAGAGCAATTCTTCCGGAGAGTCGAGAAAAATAGAAGAACTTTTACACTCGAATGGTAACAAAATAAAAAAATGAACGGGAAAAATCTACCTGCAAAATGGTTATAGCATAACCAAACAAAACTTTTGTCGATATTTGATGAGAAAGCTAATGACAGGTATTATTCAATTTATTTGAAGTTGAGACTAAATACAACAAAAAATGACGTTTTTCTTGCAAATTCCCCGAGGAAGAATTTTAGACAAAAAATTGATATATTTTCGTTTTTTTTTTTTGGCTTTAAGAATTTTTTCACCATTTTTAATCCGGTACCGCAATTTATATGACTTTTTCGTGTTTTTTTCCATTATTTTGGTTAAAGTCAGAATCAAAAAATTCCACTTACCTTTGAGTTATTGTTCACGTTATGCTTTAGTAACACAAAATAAAGTCAGGGTAATTCTGATGCAGCAAACATGCTAGCTCAGAAATTGCATTAAATCAAGCAAGGCATTTGTTCCTTGACGAGATTTCTTGCACTTTTTACAGGCTAACAAATGGCATGGTATTGAACATACTGCATCTATTTTGCTATAGACTCAAAATGTAAGTAAAAAAAAAATTAAAATAATCCAACTAAATTGCCGATTGTATTACATGGATTGGTAGGATGAACGTGGGGCACGATGATTTTCGCTGCTCGCCGTGATAATGTGGGCTGGTCTAATTATTTAATTATTAACTAATTACTTTAATGCTGGAAACTAATCCTCATCATTAACCCAGCCACGATGATGAGGACGCTTAGTATAACATTTACAGGTCTAAGTGCTCCTCATAAGATCACGAGAGAAGAAAAACACTGGTGAAGAAGAAGTACCCAGGAGCAATGCTAGAGTCGTCCGAATTGTGTTATGCTATTCCATGTGAAATGATGGCTCATTTATGTGAGGAATGAGGTGAGTAATTGTCTAGGCGTGTTTCTTACCAAATTGTTGATATTAAAGCTGGTTCTCGAGACGATTTTGTCATAATTAATTTGCCATTCGGTGTAAGGGTATTGGTGAACGCTGGAAGAGGAAATAATATCTTCCTAGAACATGCAAAACCATATATCCATTCTAAATTTTCTGCTCTAATACTAGCTTCACCAAGCTTAAACTTTAAGTTTTCCAGTGCAGCCGGCTAAGTTTTTTATTTTTTCATGGCACTTCGTTCTGTGCTCCAATTATTCGCTGCTAGCGCAGGTCGTCAATCAGGAGGATCGTGCGCCTGGCTCGCCAGGAGTAGTTCGCTCGTTCGAAAAGCCATTATGGCATGCGGCGTGACCGGTGAATCAAAATTCGATAACCGTTCAAGCTTCAGTTGCAATCTGTACTCCCTAGGGGAAAAACTGAACAATTTCTCTTTATGTGAACGCTCATAACGGGAAATTGGGGGCCTGACGCCTGGCATCAACTTACATTGGCAGAGAGTGAACTTCTCTACATGAAGAGGATGAGGAATATGTTAGTTTTTACGTCTATGTAAATACGTGATCATCTCTAAGTAATTCATTACGTCGATAGCCTAAATAATTAATTACATCTTTGGGTGAGTTTTGGTTAGAAGTTAAAGATGAAACAACCGAGCTCGTTTCGGAGTAAAGAATTGCTGAAAGTTACAGGGGTATTCTAGATGATGGACCCAATTTAATAAATTCGTATATATTCAAGTATGAATTCAATATGAATGATATATATATAAATTGAAAGAGAATTATTCAAAGTTTTTGTCAAATATTTATATGTGTTCAATATGTACCGCTTGTTCTGCACGGCAAACATCTATACTGTAGCCAAACTCGTCCCGCACACGAGAAAACATATCTTCTGTTACCGAGTGCACCGTAGCAGTGATACGGTTCTTCAGATCAACCATAGCTGCTGGTAGAGGCGGGACGTAAACATCTTCCTTGACGTAACCCCATAAGAAATAATCACAAGGTTAATCTGAAGAACCGTATCACTGCTACAGTGCACTCAGTGACAGAAGATATGTTTTCTCGTGTGTGGGACGAGTTTGGCTATTTAGATGTTTGCCGTGTAGCACAAGGGCCTGACGCCTGGCTTATTTAACATTTATTAATATTTAAAAATTGAATCTTTATCTTTAATATTTTTCTGGAATCGTTCTTTTGAAGGTATAATAATAATATTATGTATATACGAATTAATTAAATTTTATTCATCATTTAGAAAAACCCTGTACGACAAAGAGAGCTGATGGAATGGTTCCCAAAAGAGCAGCGTAAATACGTACGTTACCGCCTGTTCGTCAATGCACCACCAACAAAGAAACAAAATGAGACGACACAAGTGTAATAGGAATAGAAAAATTAAATGATCAACGAAGTGCTTTATTTTCTCGTCACTTCAATGTCAAATGAAGAATAAAGAACTAGAGATGTGCACAAAAACATTCACTAATAGATCAGGGAAAGCTGAATAGATGCCTTAAGAGGGAAAATTACTTGAATAACAAATTTTCATAACATGAAAATATAATTTGAGTAAACACTGATGACGATACCGGCAAGAGAGTATAGAGTTTTCAGAAATGCGCGACTTTGAAAAGACTAGGTATTCATTCAGTTCCAAGAGAAGACAGACTGAATCTAATATCAGAGTTTGAATTTTGATAAAAAGAATGAGAATAGTAAAAAAGTTTTCTAGGATACATGAGATTTTTAAGAGTTTCCAATCTAAAAAAGTCCCTTTTCCGCTAGTAAGTTTTTTAGTGCTAGAATCAAATGATTTTTTTTTTGTTTTTCCTTCAATGATTTTTGAGTCGCACTCACATTTAATTCACCGTGCTACAATTAAAACTGGAAATGGTTAGAATTAAATTCTGACTTGTTTTCGATGATATAGAAAAATATAAATTCTTATTAAATATCACTAGAAAGCTATCATTATAAATTTTTTATGAAAAATGCAGTCTCTATAGGAGAACGGTGTTTTAAGTACAGTGGCGACTTAGGTAGGTGTAACTTACGATCAACCTTAACAAATAAATTAATTCAAACAAATTTACTTTGGTAGAAACGATTCAAGTTTCAGTATTTTAACATTATTTTGAACTTTACGTCGATACGTTGTAGTCTGAAGTCTTAAAAAAGCAGTTGGCTAATAAAAATTTTAATATCGTCGTAAACATTGTTAGACACGTAGGAGGGTCGTTATTTGCAACGAGAAAATTAATTTTATTGGACACACTTTTACCTTGCAGATGAGATGTTCATTTGGCAGGCGGGAGAACACACAATACTTTTTAATTAAAAGTTTCTGTATCGCAGTTATTGCGATCTGAATGTAAATACTCATCCTAAATATAATGATTTACAGTTTACGGCGGACCATATAGCGCATTTATGTAAAAACATCTGCCGATACGACCATGGTATATTTTAAATCTGAACATGTGAGATGAAGAGCAGCCTTAAGTTCTTCATATGTAGTTTCATTCCAAGTAGAATTATGACATACGGAGTTTCATTTGAAGTAGAATAATGATTGTAGAAGCGACGTGCTGAAGCTCAAGTTTGATGTGAAGTAGAAACGTTAAATCATGACCACTTGAACACATACTATATATATGTTACTACTACATGTTTAACAATCCAGGACAAACATTTTACTAGATATCATACGTGATTTATTCATGCAGAATCCTTCCACTCTCGCTCTCCGTACTACAGCATTAATCAATCTATTGATAATTTGTTAATGAAATTGCGAAGAAAGTTTGCCGTATCCTGAAAATGGTAGAACTGATCATTTCTTGCTGTGTCAATTTAAAAGTGAATATTAATACGTAACAATAAAAGGATTTTATTCATGATTAATAGACTCATATTGCATATATCTATAGAGAAATGAGTTCTATCAATATATATATTTTTGCCCATTATGACCATGTAAATGTATGGTCGAGCTGTAATTGTTAGCTGCTTGTTTCCGAGAACTTTGGGGAGGGGGGGTTATATGTTATTTTCCGTAGTGTCCCAATAGTTTGATGTTCGTGATTTGTAAATTATGAACTTCTAAAAAATTTGCTGTGGTTTTGGGAGTTGGAGATACGTCTGTTACTCTATCACAATTAAGAATAAGTTTGTCAGTTAGACCTGAAGAAATACCTCTTTAGAGACGAGCATTAAATCGGATTAAGTTTTTCTCGAGAATAAGAAATGGTCAGATTGGGTTGTTATTTATTGCGTACCGGCTAAAGCAATATGACATTGAAAATGAGATTTATCGGAAAAGTTTGTCAATTAATTTCTTCGAGTTTCCAACGTATATTTGCAGCGGTTGGAAAAGTTGGTAATCAATTTATTTCGAGGTGCACAGTGCATGGCTGCATAGAAATATCTGCAGCCATTGGGTTACCTTCGTCTGCAGTCACGGTGAAATATTTGCAGAGTTGATTAGCTGGGCTCATCAAGATTGTCTACACATTTTGAAATTATGTAAATATGATATTATTTAAAGGATACTATAGTTAGAAAGTTAAGCTAGAGTTAGCTAAAAAGGCTTGCAAACTATTCATTTCTTACCCGAGTCTCTCTGTCCAAGGTTTTTTGGACGATAATCCAGCCGGTGAAATTATGTACATTTGATATTATTTATAGAACAATATAATTAGAAAGTTAAGCTAGAGTTAGCTAAAAAGGCTTGCAAACTATTCATTTCTTACCCGAGTCTCTCGGTCCAAGGTTTTTTGGACGATAATCCAGCCGGTCTGTGCGTCCACCGCAAATCTGTCGCCCTCATTGCCGTCAGCCATCTTGTAAATTAGGCGACCGTTCAGGCCACTGTCCAAATCCGTTGCCATCACCTGCAAGCCAAATGAAAGCAAGATGAATGGCAAGCTCCTACAAGCATCAAGCTGTGCGCACAGAGAGTAAGCTCTCTTTGGTAAGAGAGCTCTCTTAACAAATTTGGTAAGTGAGCTCTTTTACCAAATGCTGCACTAAACCTTATTGTTTCAACTCTCAGCACCAGCGATCTATCCGGCTGGATTGGTTCATTTCAAGGATATACTGTACGTTATACAATCAAACCCCGATAAACAACTTTTCAGGATTCTCAGTGGAATTAAAATTATCATATAAATAAAACCGGATATTAGAAAATGTGTGGAACCAAATTCTAACTTTTTTGTACTGATTAGTGACCACATTTTAAGTGGAGTTCATGAAGAGGATCAGCGCTGCACGAAAGCGTCGATGAGGTAGAGAATTGCTCTCTGTCCCAAGATTACATCCCATAAAATTGAAGCTGCCTTAAAATAATCCTTTCATTTCTTTAAGCATTATTTGGGTATCAAGTGGAGGTGCAGCTCCAGGAGCGCTGCTCGGAGGCACTTTTGAGCAAATGGAGGAGAAGTTTCTAGGTCGGTAAGAATTTTCGACATGCGTCGCTGGCGAGTCGTTGGCGCGCAATGAGAGAGCGTAGACAACCCCACGGACGAACATTAGCTCAACCTCTCATCCCGCCCGGCATCGATTGCGTCTCAGTTTCAAATAACGATTCTTGGTGAATAAAAAGCAATAATATTAGTTGCATTTCGAACAAGTCGAGCAATTTATATCAATATTATTTATGGTTTAAAAGGAGATCCTCTCGACATTTTTATTCTAAAGTAACAATGTAATGAGTCATATACGTAGAAGATCTCCGTATCTACCACAATTTACTTAAAAAATTCGTGAATCCGGTAAATTTTATCAGTTGATAGTTAAAAATGTGCTATTTGTGATTAGCGGTTAAGACATGTTAGCAGCGAAATTCACTTCAACTTCATGAGTTTTGCGACTCGTAGCATTAACTTTCACTCACCAAACTAAAGTTAAGATGAACCTGTACATATTTCAAGTAACGTCCAAAAAGTCTGCATCATCAAAGCGTTGGATTAACAGCGTATGAAGATTCTGGGGTAATTTTTCACTTCAATAAGGAGCAGCACATAATTGTAATATTTTAGGAAATACAATTTTTTGAAGTTATATAAAAATTTATGATTCGATATTTCGATGGGGAAGCGTTGAAATCGTTGAAATTCCATTATTCATGAGAAGTATTCATTCATATTTTCTTTTCACTTAAATCATGTGTCTACCTGCTTTGAAAAACCATGCAAATATTAATCGTCATAATAATTTAAAATGTTCAGATGAAAATACGTGATTTATATTGGATAATAAGGCTCCTACATAGAGGTTCTAACACCTCCATGCGCCTCACATGAGACTGCGTGAGATACGCGGCTTGGGCGCTGTAGATAAAAAGTCTTCGAAAAAGTCCTGTGGATGCAAGTCTTCCATCATTGCCTGATGATCAGCTCCACTGGCGGCAAACTCGGGTGGCTGTTGTGATAAACGGGGCTTCGAACGCAGCTTTTTTCCCGGCCCAAAAAACAGTTGAGCCTGTGCATGCTTTTTTGCGTCTTTTATACGGCAAGCAGTACAAATTCTGGGACCCCTGCTAATTTGATGCTCGTAAATACTCGTAATAACAACAAATAATGATTGACTCTGCTGCTTCATATGTTCGGATTGTTCTTGTGAAATGTATTTTTCGTACTATTCCTCTGCCAATAATTAATCATATTCCTAGTGCTTCGCAGGCAATTCTCCATTCGAGATGGATTTGGATACTTTGGAGCTTGTTGGCTGTCGAAGCGAATTGTTTAAATTTTGCGGCAGAATCTTATCATTCTAGGTCACATGATGCAATAAAGACGGTAAATTTTTAATATTGAAATTAATAACGATAGTGTACATGGTCTTGCCCTGGAATAAACTCAACCTGTAGAATTCATTCCTCGAGCTCTTCGAAAAAATTATTAAAAAAAACAATCTGCTGCAGCAAGAATGGATATCAATATTTATGGCTTTGAAGACTTCGTCAGACCGGCAATAGAATTGAGTCGCTACAGAGAGAGACCTCACTCCTGCTGATCACCACAAATGAGATTCCGATGATATTCCTTAACATGTATTAATGGTCGCAGGGCCTCACCGCCATTAAGTAAATTGTGCTCAATCCTATGGATGAAATGACGCCACGAACGCAGAACAAAGCTAGGCTAGACTTTCATTGAGTGTGAAAAATTGCATGCATCTATTCGGATTGTTTTAATACTTTTGGTGTTAGCAAATTAAATCATGATCGTACAACGTCCGTCAAAAAATATACACCTCAAAAAGTGAATAAGCACACTAGAAATACTGTTTTTTAGTGAGATTATGTCCAGTGAGTATTAAAAAAAACATAGAATTATTGACTCTGCTGCTTCAAAAGTTCTGAATACGAATCTTACCTTTAAAAGTAATTAAGCAGTTACTGTCTTTTGTATAGTTATCTAATTCAATATGTATGAATCTTTTAAAGTGGAACATTTCAGCGGGTTAGTTTAGATATTACTGTATAGCAAAATTTTCTTCTAAGCGCCTCTTCTTGTCTGTTCACGCAGAGCAAATATTGCCAAACATGGCTGTGTAATGGTACGCTACATCGATTCTTGAAACCAAACATGTATTTGAGGAAATTCTGTATATTTTAATTTGTTTTGGACGCCCCTCAACCGCGCGTCCTTCACTCGCATTCATGCAAAGTTGCAACACGTGGCAGGGTATGTCCGCTTTAAGCTAAAACACAAGTAAAGGAGAGAGGTTCGAAGGTGAGGTGTGTCGCTGCCGAGATTTTAATGATCATCTTGGGACGGGGAGGCCGAGTATCGAGAAGCTAATGAGCAAGTCTAAGGCGGCACTGAGCGTGAGGTGGTCGGGCCGGAGATAAGGCACGGTCTACCTAACCTCCCTCGCTTGCCTCTTTCAGCAACACCTTGCGATACCGGGGCTTATAGTTAGTTCTAAAATTTATTTAACAGGACTTGGTCAGAAAGAACAAATAAATTAAACCTAGTTTGGAAATTTTACAATCCTCCGGGAACGGAATTTCAATGGAATAGAATGTTTAAAAATAGCTATTCTGGACCAACATGGTGTTTTGTTCAGCGAGCGAAATTGTTAAATCCAGAGACGATTGATATTTGGTTTTAACATCCACGGAAGGTTTTGAACCAACGCAAGTCGAATGGAAAGGTTTTAGTTCTTTGTGAAATAAATCGCTCAGATACTGAATTTCTCAATAATCCAGATGCTGATGCTGAATTCCTAAATTGTTATCGTGTATTGTATAATTCGCAGCTTCAGAAATAATAGAAGGAAAATCTCATCCATATATTACTGTATTACCATCTAAGTGGAAAATCACCAGAAACTAAGATTTAATAAAAAGTTAAAAAATTGAAGGTTTTCGTTAGCTGTTAAAATTGCTGAACATAGAGTCGTGCAAAATCATGCAATATTAAATAGCCGTAATAATTTTCGCTTGAAATGTTTATACGTAGTAAATCTCACATTGCTTTCACCACAGACTTTACCACCAGTCCTCAGTCAAGGTTTCCCCAGTAAACCTAGACTGAACACCCGTTGAGTGCGAAGCTCTCCGCTGACATAGATACACGAGCGTCCGTACCAGCGACAGTTGCCAATTACATTAAATGTTTGTGGAGGGACTGGAAATGCGTGAAAAATTCGACTCAATGTCTTGTCTTTACCCGAGAAAATGAAAAAATCTATCGATAGTTCCTGATAAATAAAAGAAGTTTAAATTTACTTACTATTTCGGAGTTGAGAATAGTTGAGCCAAGGTGAATTATGTATAAACTATTTTAAAGTATCACAACTTGTGTGACACGTTGATATATAATAAGATATATTCTTGCTGTACAGGATAATTAAATCACAGGGCACAAGAAAAATAATATTTGCTTGAATATTTGACTATGAGGTCAATATCATGAGGATCCTTATAACAGAGGGATGCACAATGTTCAACTATAACAGTTACCCTTTTCGAACCCGAAACTCAACGAAGAGCAAGAGGCAATAAAGCTTAATGTCAATATAAACGCTGGTTGTACAATGTACATCCTCTTAGTAAACAGAGCCTCGTTGAGCAGTTTTTAAGAACCCAAAGTCTAAATCTCGTGAAAAATCACGAAAATCACTTAATTTACAAAGTATGAATCACGAAAATTTATTTGCAATTGCGGACCTGCAGGTGACTTTTCTTCATGAAGCTTTTTTTTCATTTTTTATCTCAGCTCCGTTATTAAGTAATTTTTGTATATTTTTAGTGCTTTAGAGAATTGTTATAGATTTTCAGCAATGAATGCCGTACTTAGCATACCCTTAACGCAAAAATACAGCAAAAGCTTAATTTGGAAACATAGTGTTCACGTTTAGTTAAAAACATTGCAGCGCTCAGTCAGTCCCATCATTCGATCCACTCGTGGTTATTGGTCTCTTAATTTGCTGACATCACATGCCAGGAGTTCCTTACGAGTTCCATATAATCGTTTTCTGCGCTTCATTACTTTTGTAATCTTATGTCTGTACAAAAAAGTTGTGCTCTGAAACTGGTCCAGAAATGTTATTGCAATTGCGGATAAGCTCACGATCTAAAAAGTAACAATCCAATCTGTTGAATCTGGCAGGATACCATATACATATGGAAAAAATCACGTTCTATATAACTCTAAATAGCATCAAAGGGCATCATTTTCATTATATTATCAAATGGCAGCACTATCGATTTTTATCCAAGGCAAATCAAAGAACATTTTTTTTCAATGTTTCGACCGACCTCAAGCCCCTTGAAAAGAACGTATATACGAGTATTTGAGATCAAGTTAACTATTTATATCAGCTTTCTTCTGTTTGGTTCACGCGTTCTTTTAAACATAGATGAAAATCTAGATATCTT